TGTAGGGTCTTGTATGTTTTGTTATATAAACTACAAAATCGAAACTTAAACAAATTCCGATTGTGCAACAATATGTACGTGTGTGTTTCAGCCAGAAATATGTGGATGATCAATAAGGTCAGTAAAACACTGCTGTAGGAGTGAACCACAAAGCTCTGGCACTGTGCGTAAAACCATTGGTAATTCTCACCATTTACACTTTCCAAATAAATTACGTCATAGCGGTAACGATCACAGTCCTGCCTGCTTACTCAAGGTGTCTGCCACTAATCTTAGTAAATCACCTTTGTGATTTGCAATATAAGACTCTGGTTCAAAAATTTTGCGCTGTGAAAGGGACACTCCAAGTCCAACAACTGATACATGTCCTGCAAAGTATCCAACCTGTAGTATTTATGCAGGTCTGGATCTTTGAGAAAGCTTGTGTGCTAGAATACTATTATTATTTAGTTATAGGTGGAAAATCTGCATGTGCTAACAGGTCGGAAAGAATCGCGTTATTAGCATTCAACCTGGTCTTAATGAGCGACTATACAAATGTAAGAATTTTAAGAAATTGAAAGAAAAAATCAAAATATTTCGTTGCAACCTTACACGGAAAAGTGAAGAATGTATTCATGTTTCAAACAGAGGTCTGAAGAAGTATCAGCCCAGCAAACGATAGGCTGGGATCTTTGAGGAAGCTTGTGTGCAAGAATATTATTTTTTGGATTCAATTTTCCTTTAAATTGTAACTATTTTATTAGATTGAATTGGATGAATGAAAAACTGTTAACTGAAAATAGTTAAATATGAAATGTCTGAATGGTGAAAATGACTATGACGTTTTATCAATTTCTTTTAGATTTTAATCGGTGAAGAGGTTTACAGCAAAACGATCTATCTATCAAAAGAATGTAAAATTCCATTAAATTCAGTTTTATAGCATGAAATCAAAACACTTGCCTTAATGCGCTTTATATTATAACATAATGGCCCTACAATAATACTGAGAAAATCATCTATGACTAACTATCCAAAGTGTGTGGGTTTTTTATTTTTCATTTTTTCTTTCCCCTAACAAAGCGACCCTTGGTGCCACTATGCAATTGAGTGAAAGGGACGTGTTTATAGTGGAAAGTATACGCCCCAAGGACGAAAGGGAGACTTTCAGCGACTGACTTTCAGCTGACACTTGACTGTCGGCTCATCTCTGGCTGAAAGCAGCAGTTTTGAGTGGCTGTATCTGTAATTTGCAGAAAAATGTTCTTTATCAGTCTTAAATGGATTAATATTACTTTTTAATTATATATATTCATAATATTTAAAAGAATCATCATTACCTTGCTTGAGGAGAGTTTAACATGGTTAACTGTCAATAACGCTGGAGTTTTGGTTAAATGGCTGGTTTTGGCTGGTTAAATGACAAATTCATAGATGTAACTAAAAGTGCTTCTGAGCCTGCACCTGGTCAGCCTGCTTGTTTTATTAGACAGGACATAGTCAGACCTGCCTTCTCCATCATCATCTCAGCTTTCCCTTGTGAAGTAATAGATGAGTTATTAACTCTAAAACTCCATCTTCATGTTGGCCAAGGTGGTTAACCAAAGGAAACTCATCTGTTATGATGAGAAGTCACAGAAGATCATTTACTTGCTAATGCTAGCTGTGTTTCCATAGAACTATGAAAGCAAGGTAGACGTGAGCTTGCTGCAAATGACAACTGATGCAACGTCAGCATAGGACTAGGTTCCTCAGAGTGGTGACTGTAGCTCAGGAGGTAGAGTAAGCCCTCTCCTAATCAGAAGGTTGGTGGTTTGATATTTGGCTGCTCTAGTCTCCGGTGTGCATGCTTAAGTATCCTTGGGCATGATATTAAACCATGGAAAACCAAGTTTCTCTCTGATGCATTCATCAGATTATGAATAAATGTAAATGTCAGATAGAAAGCACTTAGGTGTAGAAGAAAGCGCTTGTACAAGTGGATGCACGAGGAATGTTGTATAAAGCACTTTGAGTGCTCAAGTAGAGTAGAAAAGCGCTACATAAGAACCAGTCCATTTACCACCTGAGCTTTGGTTGGTACTGGCCTACTTTGTTACTTTGGTAGCTTTTGTTAGGTCCTGCAGAATGCACCCCCTATTTTTAGACACTTATTTACACGAATCAGAGAATTTCATAAAATCCCCAAATTTTCTTCTGGCAAGGACTCAAAAACAAATCTGTGGCTGGATTAAATTGTCAGATTTGTCTTAAACAATTCTTTGTTTTGGTTCATCACACGGCAGCTTTGATAAAATTCAGTTCTTTATCAAAAGTCACCAAGTGTGTTTGTTGTTTTGTTGTTTTTTGTTGTTTTTTTTAACACTGTGTACAGTAACAATGTTACTGACATTTACTTTATGGCTTTCCGTTTTTTCAGGTTCCCATCAACGACACTAACACACAGTTTGTGGAGCAGACCATAGCCATCATGAAGAACCTGTTAGATAACCACTCAGAGGGCAGCTCTGAACACCTGGGACAAGCCAGCATTGAGACCATGATGCTCAACCTAGTAAGGTAATCACAGCAAAATATGAAATGAAAACATTGTACAGTGATGGAAATTACAAAGCATAAAACACCACAACAAACTAAATCTAAATTGATGTTCTTTTTGGCATTAAAAATGTGAAAACAAATGTCATAACATCTGAACGTAGTTGTTCCTTTTAGCAGAATAACTTCTAGTAGAGTTTCTTCATCATTTGGCAGAATGGTCCAGCCTTCTCTCATTGATCTTTCCATCTCAAAGTGGCATGTAGAACATTTTCTGCTTAACCATCTCCACTTTGCATTAAAAGAGTATGGTCAAAAGTTTGAACATATTTAATAGAGGTGGGAATCACCAGACACCCCACGATATGATATGATCACAATACTTAACTCGCGATGTGATATATTCTGATTTATCACATTTTTTCTACTGCAGATTCTACCCATAAAGGTCAACTTTATAAATATTCATTTTATCTAATAACAAAGTCCTCAGGCTTCTTCAGTCTCCAGTAACTGAACAAGTCACTTGCATGAGTGATGAAAACGCTATGTCCAGATGAACAGAATCAACTTTTGGAGACTGTTTGATTAAATTATAAATTCTTTAATATTTTGTGTACCTGTCCAGGACCTGCAGATGAGAATTAAATACTAGCTAAATCTAGGATAAGGCACCTTTTTACCTCATAAACTAAGGCTACGTTCACACTGCAGGCGAAAGCGCATCAAATCCGATTTTTTTGACCCTATGCGACCCATATCCGATCATGGTGTGACAGTGTGAACGGCACAAATCCGATATTTTCAAATCTGATCTGGGTCACTTTTGTATGTGGTGCTGAATCCGATACATATCCAATGTTTTAGAAAGTGACTGCTGTTTGAACGGTCATGTCGCATTAAATCCGTCTTTTACGTCACCAACACAAGACAGACGCCAATTATGAGCGCCCGAGAAGACATCGCGAACGCTTCCTGGCCATCCAGTGTAGATGTCAGTGAAACTGTTGGGAAGACAACGTTGGAGAAACGTGAACATTTTATTTGTACTGTATAATCTGCAGATTCTGACAGAAATCTGCAACTATCCTTT